TCTCCCATCACCCTCAACCTCACCCTCTCCCATCACCCTCAACCTCACCCTCTCCCATCACCCTCACCCTCACCCTCTCCCATCACCCTCAACCTCACCCTCTCCCATCACCCCTCAACCTCACCCTCTCCCATCACCCTCAACCTCACCCTCTCCCATCACCCTCAACCTCACCCTCTCCCATCACCCTCAACCTCACCCTCTCCCATCACCCTCAACCTCACCCTCTCCCATCACCCTCAACCTCACCCTCTCCCATCACCCTCAACCTCACCCTCTCCCATCACCCTCAACCTCACCCTCTCCCATCACCCTCAACCTCACCCTCTCCCATCACCCTCAACCTCCCCTCTCCCATCACCCTCAACCTCACCCTCTCCCATCACCCTCAACCTCACCCTCTCCCATCACCCTCACCTCACCCTCTCCCATCACCCTCAACCTCACCCTCTCCCTCACCCTCCCCCTCACCCTCTCCCATCACCCTCCCCCTCACCCTCTCCCATCACCCTCAACCTCACCCTCTCCCATCACCCTCAACCTCACCCTCTCCCATCACCCTCAACCTCACCCTCTCCCATCACCCTCAACCTCACCCTCTCCCATCACCCTCCCCCTCACCCTCTCCCATCACCCTCCCCCTCACCCTCTCCCATCACCCTCAACCTCACCCTCTCCCATCACCCTCAACCTCACCCTCTCCCATCATCCTCAACTCATCCTCACCCTCTGCCCATCACCCTCAACCTCACCCTCTCCCATCACCCTCAACCTCACCCTCTCCCATCACCCTCAACCTCACCCTCTCCCATCACCCTCACCTCACCCTCTCCCATCACCCTCAACCTCACCCTCTCCCATCACCCTCAACCTCCACCCTCTCCCATCACCCTCAACCTCACCCTCTCCCATCACCCTCAACCTCACCCTCTCCCATCACCCTCAACCTCACCCTCTCCCATCACCCTCAACCTCACCCTCTCCCCTCACCCTCAACCTCACCCTCTCCCATCACCCTCAACCTCACCCTCTCCCATCACCCTCAACCTCACCTCTCCCATCACCCTCACCCTCACCCTTCCCATCACCCTCAACCTCACCCTCTCCCATCACCCTCAACCTCACCCTCTCCCATCACCCTCACCCTCACCCTCTCCCATCACCCTCAACCTCACCCTCTCCCATCACCCTCAACCTCACCCTCTCCCATCACCCTCAACCTCACCCTCTCCCATCACCCTCAACCTCACCCTCTCCCATCACCCTCAACCTCACCCTCTCCCCTCACCCTCACCTCACCCTCTCCCATCACCCTCAACCTCACCCTCTCCCATCACCCTCAACCTCACCCTCTCCCATCACCCTCACCTCACCCTCTCCCATCACCCTCAACCTCACCCTCTCCCATCACCCTCAACCTCACCCTCTCCCATCACCCTCAACCTCACCCTCTCCCATCACCCTCAACCTCACCCTCTCCTCACTCTCCCATCACCCTCACCTCACCCTCTCCCATCACCCTCAACCTCACCCTCTCCCATCACCCTCAACCTCACCCTCTCCCATCACCCTCAACCTCACCCTCTCCCATCACCCTCAACCTCACCCTCTCCCATCACCCTCAACCTCACCCTCTCCCATCACCCTCAACTCACCCTCTCCCATCACCCTCAACCTCACCCTCTCCCATCACCCTCAACCTCACCCTCTCCCATCACCCTCAACCTCACCCTCTCCCATCACCCTCACCTCACCCCTCCCATCACCCTCAACCTCACCCTCTCCCATCACCCTCAACCTCACCCTCTCCCATCACACCCTCACCTCACCCTCTCCCATCACCCTCAACCTCACCCTCTCCCATCACCCTCAACCTCACCCTCTCCCATCACCCTCAAACCTCACCCTCTCCCATCACCCTCAACCTCACCCTCTCCCATCACCCTCAACCTCACCCTCTCCCATCACCCTCACCCTCACCCTCTCCCATCACCCTCACCTCACCCTCTCCCATCACCCTCAACCTCACCCTCTCCCATCACCCTCAACCTCACCCTCTCCCATCACCCTCAACCTCACCCTCTCCCATCACCCTCAACCTCACCCTCTCCCATCACCCTCAACCTCACCCTCTCCCATCACCCTCAACCTCACCCTCTCCCATCACCCTCAACCTCCCCCCTCACCTCTCCATCACCCTCAACCTCACCCTCTCCCATCACCCTCAACCTCACCCTCTCCCCATCACCCTCACACCTCACCCTCTCCCATCACCCTCAACCTCACCCTCTCCCATCACCCTCAACCTCACCCTCTCCCATCACCCTCACCCCTCCCCCTCTCTCCATCACCCTCCCCCTCACCCTCTCCCATCACCCTCACCCCCTCTCCCATCACCCTCACCTCACCCTCTCCCATCACCCTCACCTCACCCTCTCCCATCCCCTCAACCTCACCCTCTCCCATCACCCTCAACCTCACCCTCTCCCATCACCCTCACCTCACACCCTCTCCCATCACACCCTCAACTCACACCCTCTCCCATCACCCTCAACCTCACCCTCTCCCATCACCCTCACCCTCACCCTCCCCCATCACCCTCAACCTCACCCTCTCCCATCACCCTCAACCTCACCCTCTCCCATCACCCTCAACCTCACCCTCTCCCATCACCCTCAACCTCACCCTCTCCCATCACCCTCACCCTCACCCTCTCCCATCACCCTCAACCTCACCCTCTCCCATCACCCTCAACCTCACCCTCTCCCATCACCCTCAACCTCACCCTCTCCCATCACCCTCAAACATCACCCTCAACCTCACCCTCTCCCATCACCCTCAACCTCACCCTCTCCCATCACCCTCAACCTCACCCTCTCCCATCACCCTCAACCTCACCCTCTCCCATCACCCTCAACCTCACCCTCTCCCATCACCCTCAACCTCACCCTCTCCCTCACCCTCAACCTCACCTCTCCCATCACCCTCAACCTCACCCTCTCCCATCACCCTCAACCTCACCCTCTCCCATCACCCTCAACCTCACCCTCTCCCATCACCCTCAACCTCACCCTCTCCCATCACCCTCAACCTCACCCTCCTCCCATCACCCTCAACCTCACCCTCTCCCATCACCCTCAACCTCACCCTCTCCCATCACCCTCAACCTCACCCTCTCCCATCACCCTCAACCTCACCCTCTCCCATCACCCTCAACCTCACCCTCTCCCATCACCCTCAACCTCACCCTCTCCTCACCCTCAACCTCAC